TAGAGAGGGGACCACCGGGGGGTGAAATCGACGTAGCCCCGACACAAACAAGCTGTAGTGATAATGGCGAGCGAGTGATCTCCACATAGGTTCCAGCAACAACGCCCACGGAAACGGTGACTCCTGGCGACTGGCTACGGGAGCTGGTGGCGGGGATCACGGGGGCCACATCGCTGGTGGAAGGGGAGGTAAACGGAATGCGTACCCGAATCCTGCTGGACACGGGGGCGGTGGCCTCACTCGTGAGCGCAGTGCACTGCAGCGCGATCGGGGTCGACGTGCGTCACCTGCAGGCCCCGGACCGCGCGCTGCACACGGTGAGCGGAGCCGGAATGGGGTTGCTGGGGAGAGCCACCCTAGAGGTCCGCATAGGCAGCCAGGTGTGCACCCAGGAGTTCTACGTGTCGAGTGCGTTGTGTCACGAGTGTATTGCAGGTACCGACCTCCTAGAACAGCTGGGACTCAACGTGCAACCCCGCCAGCGATGCGCCACCATGGAGAACAACGGCGAGCGGATTCCGTTCCTGGGACGAGAGCTGACGCGTCCCCGCTTCGCACCTGTGCTCGCTATCCTGGCGACGGCAGTCACCATCGGGCCGCTCACCGAGATGCTGGTGCCGGTGGCAACATCCCCCACCGACCCAGCGCTCCGACCATCAGGGGAGGTAATGCTAACTCCTCACCCGGAGTTGGCAAAACGCCATTTTGAGGTGAGTGCGGGAACACGTATAGGAGGTGTGAAGATTGACGGAACTGCAAGAGGCTGCTCCTGAGCTGGAATGGAAGGCTCGCACAAGATTCCTCCAGAGGGAGCGGATGGAGGCCGAGACGCCCTACGCCTTCTGGACAGCGCTGCTGGCGCTGGGACGGGAGGCATACCCACTTCTGGGTGAGAAGGCGCTCGACCTTCGGGTGGCGGAAAGGCTGCGGGAGCTCGCAAGAAAGCTGAGGGTTGCTTTGCCCTCTGCCGTCGGCACAGAAATTTTATCCTCAATGGTGGCCCGGAAGATACAAGTCTTCGAAGAACACCAGCAACGGGTAAAATGGGAGGCTGTGGCATGGAGCATGGACGACATGATGGCAGCGGTGGGTGGCCGGGGAACGCAAGCAAAAGGATCCCCACGGGGGGACCCACGGCAGGGGAAGTTCCCTCCGCCCTGGGAACGCACGCCCAGGTGCTTCATGTGTGGCTGGTCGGGCCACATTCCTGTGGAGTGTCGGGGTGACAGAGGACCACCAGCAGAGTCACCCACACCCTTTAACCCATCAGCAAAGTCGACCCAAGCCCCGACGGACCCGGGTCTCTGAGGCCTACCGCCGAGTACGAGGTCTCGGGGACCGGATACGAACGGGTGCTGCCGAGCAGTGAGGGGCCATGCCCTGGAAGCCGAGGTGCAAGACGCTCCTGAGATGGGGGTGACCGGTTCTATGGACCAGATCACGCGACCCGGTTTGGGGGGACACTTCCTTGCATTGGGAGGGGATCCGAAGGAGAGGAGGTGTTGGAGCTAAGGGCTTGGGTGAAGAGGTAATTAAAGATGTGCCGATTGCGGGGGGGGGGGGGGGGCTGCGCTGTGTAAAATGTTGCTGATTCACGGATGGGGGGCGCCGTGCTGTGTAAAATGTTGCCTATTCACGGAAGAAGGCGCCGTGCTGAGTAGAGTGTTGCAGATTGCAGAGGGGGGCGCCGCGCTGTGAGGGAGGTTGCCAATTCGCGACATCGGGGGCGTCGCGTTGGTTCGCGGAGGGCACCGGGGTGGTAGCGAAGTTTTCTGTTGATTCGCGGGAGCACCGTGGTTGTAACAGGATTGTGGGGAAAAAAATTTTCTTCGTTTTTTTAGTTCAGTTCGTTGGTGTTAGGGGTGTTCCTCGAGAGTAGGGGGTTGCTCTGCCTGTCCACCGTTTGCGGCTGCTGTATTGGCAGCCGGGATGACTGTTTTTTTTACGGAGGGGGGGGGGGGGGTGATGTAGTAACACAGTGCCGACTGCTGTCCAGCAGCAGCAACTGCGGTGGACAGTTAGCGCACACGCCGTTGAGCATATACACGGGTGTACCGGCAGGGCAGAGAAACTGGGGCAAGGGTCACGGTAGACCCCTGGAACTCTCTGGTGGGTTTGAGAAGGGAGGTGCGGCTAGGGCAGAACCAAAACACGCCGAGTAGAATATAAGCAGCGAAGAGCGAAAGCTCCGGGCTGCAAGTTCGGGGAGTGGACTCGTCTCGTCGTCGCTGTCGTTGCCGCCGCCTTCGTCGCTGCCGCCTTCACCCGATCATTGCGCGGCCAAACAGTAGTTGGCTGTCACGATCGACGCCGCCGGTGCAACGCGGACAGGATTGTGTCTGGGCCGGGCTGTACAGCAGCGTGGTCGTGAGAGAGGAGGCTGGAGTTGGTGGTGTGAACAAGATAGAGGAATAAAGAGAGAGATGGTGCCTTCTGCAACTACCTCGTCTCCGACTGAGTGTGTTCGCCACACACCACATGCACACACACGCCGGGAGGATGAAGGACACTACACTAGTACAGCACACCGGGGTGTTGGAGAGCAAACCACAACATTTATAATATAATCTGAGGATTGTAAATGTTGTGGATTTGCTTTCCAACTCACCGGTGTGTTGTACTAGTAACGAATTGGCATGTTCTGTTTACGTGACACACCTTACTAAATGGCTGGTCAAGTGGTGGCTGGTTTAACGACGCATTTATATTTACGCGATGGTCAATAGTATCAAAGGCTTTTGACAACTCAAGGAATACCGTACAGCAATAGTGGCTTTTAACCAGGTTACTGAAGAGAAAATGTAACACATCTATCATTTGCTATGGTAGTGCAGTAATCCTGTCGAAAACTAGACTGTTTACTGTGAAGGCGATTGTGCCTTTTTATGTAGGAGTTTATTTGTAATTTGAGTATTTTTCGAATACTGTAGTCACTGGTGAAAGAATAGAGATTGGTCTGTAATTATTAGGATTTTATATGGAGCCATTTTATATACTGGACAAATAAGAGTGGATTTACACTCTTGTGAAAATGTACCTTCGGTAACTGAGAGGTTTAAAATACATCCAGTTGAGATATGGGACTAAACGAGAAGTATGGACGATGACTTTCACGAACATTTTGAGGGTTGGTGGATGAAGAGGAAGACATGAATGATGTAAACAGTGGCGTACAGTATTAGGATACATTTTACTCTGATGTGTTTTTGTCGAATATATGCTTTCCTCATCCAAAATAATAATTGAATCCATTCACAATGTCTTGGTTTTTTTTTTACAGTTCCATTGCCATCCAATAAGAGTTTATTTGAAGTAATATTTAGCTTTCCTTTGTTTTCAACTGAGTTGAATTTTTGCCAGAAAAGTATTGGATTTTTTTCTGAATAGTTCTTTAGTGGTAGTAAGATAATTTAGTGTTTCTTACTTGTGGAGTACGTCTACGTTTTATTATTCTGTAGTTAATCTAATCATGGAGGTTATTTGATGTTTTTTTTTTTTAAATAACACCAGGCTATATAGTTTTCATTTATTCAGAGATGTTCGGATCAAACCAAGGTGGACTATCACCCTTTATTCTGAACTTTTTAAGGGGACATGTTTGTCAATAACTTTAGGAACTGTTTAACACATAGGATTTCGTGACCAATATCATCCATAATAAAGGTTTTTTTTGGGGTTAGATCGCGTAAATACATTTAAGACCCAGGAACTGGTTCTTAAAATATGTCTAAGCACTTTCAAAAACTGGGATTTTGCTCACCGTATCCAAGTCAGAATGGAGAGTGTCATGTATACATGCTTGAAGGGTCAATCTTTTTGCAAACCGTTTCATAATGAATTTATGAGGTGTTTTAGTAATTTTGTATGACAAATGGCATGGTCACTGGGATGGTTACCTAAGACTCCCACTTTTTAAAATTTACTGGGTGAATTTGTTAGTAGGATATCAAGTATGGACGAACGATCGGAGTTTTTTTATATTTGGTCTAGTAGTTGAAGTTATCAATTGATTTATATGGTACTGGTTTCTAAAGTCGAATGCATCATGTGGTAGGTTTAACCAATTCCAATTTAGTTCCCCTATGATCAAGAGGTCACCTATGAGAATGGTTGACAATTTTGTCGAGGGATTAATTTCATATTTTATTATTTGGTAGTCTATATCAACGCATCAGAGTCAAATGTTGGTTATCTCTAAAAGAATGATGAGTGTGATACGTTCAAAAGAGTCCGGGTAGGACACAATAGTAAGTTGAATGTAAGGTAGGTCGTTTTTTACATGTATTGCCACACCTCCTCTTGATTGTCTGGCAAATCGGAATATATTATACCATTCAATTTCTACGAGGCGAGGAGTTATATGTGGGTAAGCCATTTCTCAGACGGACAGAAGATGTCCGAGCAAATATTATTGAATTAAAATTTGAATTGTTAAAATAAGGCCTCGAATGTTGACATGGACAATGCCAAGACGATGTTTTTGAAATCTATTGAGTTAAAGATGAGTGATGGAGAAAATGTGGCAGTAATGGGACCAGGATTGGTTTCAACACCTGATCTAATCAAGAATATAAATATTGATAGCTTCTCGACGTGTTTTGTAATCTTTCTTATGAAACGAGCAATATTATGATTTTGTAGAATATTATAAAATGAACAGAATATGGGATGTTCCATTGTTTGAGAAGGTATATCGGAGTGTGTTGTGTGTGATGGATGGGGTGGCGGTGAGTTTGATGGTTTGAGTGACAATGCGGCAAAAACACAGACCAGAGTTATTGGGTTTATCCAAGATCGGTATCTGTATTTATAAATTGTACGAAATTTCGCGACATCGTGTGTATGTACATATCGTACGATATATGACCAGGAGGCGGTTAATTACATATCGTACGATATATCGCCATATCGTAGTTATGTTCATATTGTACGATATATCGCCATATCGCGGAAAACCAGCCAATGGGGTTTCACTTGCGCGGTCACGTGGCGCGGTGGGCGATCCGAGCGGGCAGGAAGAGAGACGCGTCACGTGTGTTCGTGTTAGAGCGTGAGACACGTGTGTTCGTGTGAGAGAGACACGTGTGTTCGTGTGAGAGAGACACGTGTGTTCGTGTGAGAGAGACACGTGTGTTCGTGTGAGAGAGACACGTGTGTTCGTGTGAGAGAGACACGTGTGTTCGTGTGAGAGAGACACGTGTGTTCGTGTGAGAGAGACACGTGTGTTCGTGTGTGTGAGAGAGAGCGTGAGACACGTGTGTGTGCTTGAGTGTTTATTTCCACCGCCGCCATGGTTCGCAAGCTTCGCTTTCACGAGCAGAAGCTGCTCAAGAAAGTCGACTTCATCTCGTGGGAGGCGGACGCGGACCGCAAGGAGCTGCGAGCGCTACGCCGCTTCCACATCCAGCGCCGCGACGACTACACCAAGTGCGGGCGGGCGGGCAGGCAACATGGGGGGGCACGGGGAGGCTTAGGCCGGACACACGTGGCGGACGGCATAGGATTGTGGTGTTGTGTGTGTGTGATGGAGGTGGTGGGTGGTGATGGGGGTGGCGTGTGTGTGATGGAGGTGGTGGGTGGTGATGGGGGTGGCGTGTGTGTGATGGAGGTGGTGGGTGGTGATGGAGGTGGCGTGTGTGTGATGGAGGTGGTGGGTGGTAATGGGGGTGGCGTGTGTGTGATGGAGGTGGCGTGTGTGTGATGGAGGTGGTGATGGAGGTGGTGGGTGGTGATGGGGGTGGCGTGTGTGTGATGGAGGTGGTGATGGAGGTGGTGGGTGGTGATGGAGGTGGCGTGTGTGTGATGGAGGTGGTGGGTGGTGATGGGGGTGGCGTGTGTGTGATGGGGGTGGCGTGTGTGTGATGGAGGTGGTGGGTGGTGATGGGGGTGGCGTGTGTGTGATGGAGGTGGTGATGGAGGTGGTGGGTGGTGATGGAGGTGGCGTGATGGATGTGTGATGGAGGTGGTGGGTGGTGATGGGGGTGGCGTGTGTGTGATGGGGGTGGCGTGTGTGTGATGGAGGTGGTGGGTGGTGATGGGGGTGGCGTGTGTGTGATGGAGGTGGCGTGTGTGTGATGGGGGTGGTGGGTGGTGATGGGGGTGGCGTGTGTGTGATGGGGGTGGCGTGTGTGTGATGGGGGTGGTGGGTGGCGATGGGGGTGGCGTGTGTGTGATGGGAGGTGGTGGGTGGTGATGGGGGTGGCGTGTGTGTGATAGGGGTGGTGGGTGGAGTGATGGGAGCGGTGGTGCAGTGGTTAGCGCGCTGCGCTATGAACCCGGCGACCCGAGTTCAATTCTCGCTCACGGCCACCACCGGTGACTATTATTTTAACCGATCCTGGGCCTCGCCTAGGTCGACTCAGTGTCAAATGAGTACCTGGCTTGGGCCGGACACACGTGGCGGACGGCATGGGATTGTGGCGTTGTGTGTGATGGGGGTGGCGTGTGTGTGGTGGGTGGTGTGATGGGGGTGGCGTGTGTGTGATGGAGGTGGTGGGTGGTGATGGGGGTGGCGTGTGTGTGATGAGAGGTGGTGGGTGGTGATGGAGGTGGTGGGTGGTGATGGGGGTGGCGTGTGTGTGATGGGAGGTGGTGGGTGGTGATGGGGGTGGCGTGTGTGTGATGGAGGTGGTGGGTGGTGATGGGGGTGGTGGGTGGTGATGGAGGTGGTGGGTGGTGATGGGGGTGGCGTGTGTGTGATGGAGGTGGTGGGTGGTGATGGGGGTGGTGGGAGGTGGTGGGTGGTGATGGGGGTGGCGTGTGTGTGATGGAGGTGGTAGGTGGTGATGGGGGTGGCGTGTGTGTGATAGGGGTGGTGGGTGGTGTGATGGGAGCAGTGGTGCAGTGGTTAGCACGCTGCGCTATGAACCCGGCGACCCGAGTTCGATTCTTGCTCACGGCCACCACCGGTGACTATTATTTTAACCGATCATGGGCCTCGCCTAGGTCGACTCAGTGTCAAATGAGTACCTGGTGTGGTGTGTAGTAAACATCGTCACTAGGGAAACAAAGGCGGTCGGGCGTGGTGCAAGCCACCCACCTAATCGTGTAACGTTTCGGTCTTAATAGGTGCTCGCTAACAGCACTTCCCCCAACAGTCTATTAAGGCCACACCACAGGAGATCTTTGGCTGTGCAGGTACCGTGGTTTCTGCCCGTGCCGTGAGCGCTGGCGAGCTGTGCGATGTTGTGCTGCTGCTGTGCAGGTACAACAAGCTGAGCCGCGAGGTGCGCACGCTGGCCGGCAAGCTCAAGGAGCTGGACCCGGCCGATCCGTTCCGCAGTGAAGGCACGAACCGCCTCCTCGACAAGCTGTAAGTGCTGCTACTGCGCAACGCATTCCTCTACCACCACCATCATCGTCATTGTTAGCGTCGTGTGGAGAATAACAATTCCTTGCCAACTGCGGGGTTTAGATACTTGGAAAAGGCTGCGGTAGGCAAATCCGCAGTTGAAGTACAGGGGGGGCCTATGGGAACTACGGGGTTATTCAGAACGACAGCCACGGTCAGGCTCGTCACAATTCAACCCAGTTGCCTGTTTATTAAATAATAAACACCAAATAAAATGCAGCACATTACTCAATGACAATAACATACACATTATATTAACTGTATATTCCATTTATATAACGCAAGCAGCCGTCCCTATGGACGGCTGCTTGCGTTGTGGCCGAAACACACATTATTATGTTTTATTTTTATTATTTTATTACTTCCCTTCTACGTGACTTTACCGAAAGAACCAAGAACATGAATCCCTGCAGTCACGAAAGCTTTAAATCGAAATTTAGACGGACAGCAGCACCACGGAGGGGGGGGGGGGGCGCACGGGTGGTGTGGCAGCACAGAGGAGAACCATGTAACTGTGTATTGCGGACCCCCCCCCCCCCCCGTGTGTGTTATAGATGCATAGAACGACGTCAGCAGACAATGACGTCACGCAATACAATGACGTTAATACACGTCACGTAACTTCCTTAACACCATGCTCACCCGTAGATACTCATATTTCCAGGCCGAGGTTGATACATTGGTATACAGATAATAAACCGTGTGTGTACATGAATCCCGCGGTTGGCAAGTCCACGCTTGGCGAGGGATTGCTGCCCAGGTACCAAATAAATGGACAGCACGCCTCATTCACATGTCTGTCCTTCCACGTAAAAACCGACGGTATTGTTTTCTGCACAACCCATCATTCACACGGACTTCTGGGAGTGCACCGTTTGAAGACTCGGTTCAACTATCAGTGTCTCTAAATCAGCAGTCGGGGCTTGGTTGAATCGTTGAGTGTTCCTTTGTGGTGACGCAGCCTTGCGGAAGCACATTCACTGCTTGTTGCAGGGGATCACGGTTTGAATCCGGCGTTACAGATCCACATGACTTCATTCGCAAGAGTAGTCATTGTGTGCCGGAATCGTGGTCCAAATTTTCAATAATAAACCCTCAAATTATTCAATTCGAATTACGTGTAGAAATCATATTCGAGAGGTTTTTTTGTGTTTGATTACGTAAATATAAAAAGTGTCTTTTAGACCACCACCACCTGACAGCCAATGGGTAAGGTTTGTCACGTGAACAAAACATGGCAATTAGTTACTACTTAAGCAGACCGGTGTGTTAGAGAGTAAACCCACAACGTTTACAATTCAAGTACCGTGACGTTTCGCCGTTAATTACAACCAGCATTATCAGGCGGCAGCGAAATTTGTGGAGAAATCCTGTTTCGGTCTTAAATAGATGGATACGTGATGTCATCACTTGGGAACCAATCAGGTGTGAAGGCCAGTGGAGGGGTTCATGTTTTCATTTAAAGTACAATGGATATATATTACTGGATGAGTTATTCATAGGGTAATCAACATACATAATGTGCATGCACAATGCGTATGCATGTGTGATCCACATACATTATGCATGCACATCCTGCCCTTTTTGAGTACAAGAAATCCCAATACCTGTTATTGGTTGCTCACAGTTAGTCACCATCGACGTATGGTGGCCTGTATAGGCATGCAGTTAAACAGTGTAGTAGCATCACTTGATAATACGCTTACAAGCAGCACATCTGTGAGACTTCGTGAGACTATACTGGGGGGTAAACGAGCGTTTGAAGTGTGACTTGCCCCTGACTCTGTGTGGCTGTCACCGCGTGTGGCTGGTTCTCTGTGTGTCTGGTTCTCTGTGTGGCTTGCTCTCCGTGTGATTTGTGGCTCCTGGTGGGAGTAGTGGGGGGGGGGGGTGTGAGAGAGGACGGCAGGAAGAGAGGGAGGGGAGAAGCAGGCGGGCGAGGTTGAGTGAGCTGCAACTTGGACAGCAGCAGCAGGCGGCGTCTAGTTTCTCGCCCATGTGCTGAGCAGCTCTTCGCTCCGGCTCTGATGAGAATAAAAGCTGCCGTGGGGGCGTGGGAAATGCCCGAGTGACCATTAGCAGCGGTTGATTTAAACGGGCCCTGAAACGCTCCCACTGTTTACTTTAAGCCGAATGTCCGTTCGTACGACCCTGGGACAAAAGTGAGGAGGAGGCCGCAGGGAGGCGCGCAGAGCGTGAACGTTGTTAATCTTGAAGGAAACTTAAAAAGGTTCTTGTTTTTTGTCAAAATTCCGCATTGATGAAGTAGTGTTTGAAAATGGGAAAACTCCTCGGTGCTCACGTGCACTCCGAGGAGCTACATAACCGGACACGCTCTTGGCCCACCTCTCACACTCTACCGCACACGCACGCTATCCGCGCTCTCGGAGGTTGAGATAATTTTCGTCACCGGCCATCGTCGCTTCTGGCGATGAGCCCTGCGCCCAAACGCACTCCGTTTTGTTCCGGGGTCGACGCGATGCCTCTCGGTCGTGGTCGTTCTCCAATCCACGCCTTCCTCTTGCTGTCTCTGAAACAATTACAATTATTGTGAAATAACATCGCATTGCACTTCACCTGCGATCATTTACTGAATGCACACCGGGGTCATGATGATTCACCGAGGAGGTGAGTGAAAAGAAGTGGGGCTGTTTTTTTAAGAATTGAGGTTGATGGTGAGACGTAGCTAAATAATTGCCTGCTAGAGGAAAGTTTTAAATCGGTGCACGTGCAATAAAAGACAGTGCCGCAGTAGGGACAGCTGGGTGCAAGCACCAGCTGTCCACCAGAATCATCCACAGCCATCACAACTTGCCCTGCTCCACCACTCGCGTCCACCACTTGGCTCTCACCCTGCTCCATCATTAGCGATCTCTGATGCCTGCTGTATATTTGGAGTTTGCGTCTCTCGTGTGGATTTTTCTCCGGGTCCTCCGGTTTTTCCCTCCACATTTAGAAACTTGCGTTTAGAGTATTTGGCTGCTATATATATTCACATGATAAGGCACTTCTTTGAGCTATCATTTGTGACCAGGTCACTTGTAAAAAAGAGCTAAATAGCTCAATGAGGCTTACCTGGTAAAATTAAAAGTTTAAATAGTTTTAGTCCTCCACTTGGCTCTTACACTCCCCCTTCTGGCTATGGCTAGATTCTCTGGTAGCAGCACACACTCACCCAGCAAACACACTCACCCAGCAAACACAACTCACTCACTATGCGCTGTGTGCTAGATGCTGTGTGCTACGTGCTGTTAGATGCTGTGTACTACGTGCTGTGTGTTAGATGCTGTGTGCTACGTGCTGTGTGTTAGATGCTGTATGTTAGATGCTGTGTGCTACGTGCGGTGTGCTACGTGCTGTGTGCTATGTGCTGTGTGTTAGATGCGGTGTGCTACGTGCTGTGTGCTACGTGCTGTGTGTTAGATGCGGTGTGCTGTGTGCTACGTGCTGTGTGCTACGTGCTATGTGTGGTGTGGTGAGTCGCACATTCCGCGTGCCGAGTGCTGAGTGCCGCGTGCCAAGTTCCCAGTGTCGAGTGCTGATGCCGCGCGTCCCACAGCACAGCCCCGGGTCTCGCGCTCACCGGGTATTTATACCGCGCCCGCCTTTATTTAGCCTCCACTCCTGCTCAGGGACGTGCATTCGTGATGGACTGCACATTAGAGTGCGCAATAACAAATGTTTTTGCTTACATCGCTCGCATCTTCCTCCGTGACTCGCCCCTGCCGGGGAAGGGCCGGCGTTGGCCGAACGCAGCTCACATACTGCCAGTGTAAATGTGTGTGGGGCCAGTGTACATTCGTACAAGACACTGATTCATGACAATCTCTTGGGTCCAAAATCTGCACCACCTGCTTCCTAACTCATTGCCGCCACCACGTCGCCGTCTTGCGTGTTTACGTTTTTTTAGCGAATGCCGTTCTGCTTGTTTGTTGGGTCATTCAGGTATGCCATGGGCATCATCCCCACCAGGCAGGGCCTGCAGCTGTGCGACAACGTGTCGGCGAGCTCCTTCTGCCGGTACGAGGACCGCACCGTCCCCGCACCGTCCCCGCACCGCCACCGCACCGCCACCGCACCGCCACCGCACCGCCACCACACCACCACGCCGGTTTCATCGTGACCGCTTAGTCCGCGAGGCTGCTCATTGCGCCGATCCAGAGGTTTGTGCCGTGAAGATGCCGCGAGGCCGGCACGACGCTGAAATCATTATGCAGAAACCTTACTACTACACCTCTTCTTTTTGTATTCTGTCCCTTCATATAAAAAAAGGAACGTCATTTTTAAAATAACCCATCAGCCGCATGGATTATTATTTGAAGTTGGGGAGAGCGGTCGTTTCCTATGCTGGAACCCAAGGTGGGTTCCTCCTCCACGAGTGGAGGGCTCCGTTGTGGGGCTCAAGAGGTCAGGACCGAAGGGGGGCGGATCGTGGCGATAGCCGCTCGGGAACCCGGCTGACATGGAGCTCCGGCGACCCCTCGCCACCACGGGAAGCACCGTGCCACCACGGGAAGCACCGTGCCACCACGGGAAGCACCGTGCCACCACGGGAAGCACCGTGCCTCCACGGGAAGCACCGTGCCACCACAGGAAGCACCGTGCCACCACAGGAAGCACCGTGCCACCACGGGAAGCACCGTGCCACCACGGGAAGCACCGTGCCTCCACGGGAAGCACCGTGCCTCCACGGGAAGCACCGTGCCTCCACGGGAAGCACCGTGCCTCCACGGGAAGCACTGCGCTTCAACAGCACGCTCAGTTGGTGCAGGCCGCGCGTTTTGTAGAGCCATGCGGTGTTAGAGATGAATAGATTTGTCTTGTTATCATGCTGCTTGTATATCCAGGAAAGCCTCACCCACAAGTCCCTTTTCTGGGAGGGTCCTGCCCCTTAGTAAAGGTCTCCGCTCAATCCCCTCGTTTTTTCCGAGCGTAGGCGGCGGTTGCCAACGATCATCATCAAGCTGAGGATGGCCCAGAATCTCAAGATGGCCGTCACCTTCATTGAGCAGGGACGTATCCTCTGTCGCGAGCGCTCGTGGCGGTGCGCCACACCGCGTGTCACTGGAGACGGGCATGTGATGGCGCCGCCCTCCCATACGCCGGGCGTTTCCCAGCGATTTGCACCGCATCTCGTCTCCGACGTTTAAAGGGCACCCCCAATGGGGGAGCTATCCTTGTGGCACAAGGAGACTCGGCACCTGGCTTTCGTCTGCCAGTAGGGGGCGACGATTACTGCTGTGTGTGCGAGGTCCCATTTGAGTCAATTTGCTGGTATTTATTTTTTCATTTTGTAAAATTTAGACTGTGATGCCGACATGCAAATGGCCTCATTTCAAATGAGGTCAGCGTATCTTTGACGTTCGTCGTGAATCATATGGGCAGCAGCAGTGATTACCGCGGCGTTAGCCACGGTAATCACTGCGAGCGGCCCACGGTGCTGTCTGTCGACGCCGCGATCCTCCGCGAGACGACGTCAGGGTGGGGCATTCTTAGGTTTTTTTCGGTAAAGTCACGTAGGTAAAACATTAAAATTAATAAAAGTAAAATAAAATAAAAATCACGACGTTTCGGAGGCAACACAAGCTTCCGTCTTCAGGTGGAACCGTCACAGCCACGACAGCTGTATCAAGTAAATGTTTTACCTACGTGACTTTACCGAAAAAACCTAAGACTATGAATCCTTGCAGTCACGAAAGCTTCAAATCTAGAGTCCGGGTGGGGGTTCTCAACTGTCCCTGTGATCCACGAGACTTTTGTGCGCGTCTGTGTGGAGTGGTCGTCGCTGCAGCGAACGCTCTCGGGACACATTTGCCGTGAGATGTTTCCCTTAAAGGAACGATCAGACGTTCGAGTTGGGACGGAAGTGGTGATGGACCCGGCTTTCCTCGTGACCAGGTGAGCGCACAACTGCAGGTGGGCCGGCCCCACTCCTGCCACCACATCAGTCCTGGATCGAGGATCCAATTCTCACTTCCTCACCAGCGGTCACTCACCTGTCACCACTTCCGTGGTTACATTTTTTTTACCAAGGCCCACTGAGCTATATAGCTCATTTTCAGATGATCGTTCAATGAAGTGGCTTATCACGTTGAAATTTAAAGCAGCCAAATATTCGGAACGCATGACCATTGGTCGCTTCACCCACGTTGAGAGTACCGAACACCGACTGTTTTGTCTCATCATGGGACCTCCTTTGCAAGTAACAAAATATGATAATAGGTTTTTCCCCTTTTTTCTGGCAGCAAAACAGGTGTTAAGATGAAAGGTGTTTCCACTTTTTTTTTTTAAACACCAAACGTAAACCTTTTACAAGGAATCATGTCTGCATTAACCACAATGCTTGTGGTCAGAATGCAAACAAAAAAACATACTCTGATCATATATGCATTGTCCTTGAAACTGATTGGTCTACACCAGAGACAGCTTTCTTTTGAGCCTCGTCTCAAAATGTGTTAGACCAGAGGACGCCAAAAGGCGTACAGCCCAAAGACAATGCATTATCAGAGTAATGAGAGCTCGGGGTGAGCATCTACATCATGGGACCTCCTTTGCCAGTATCAAACTCGTCCACTTTCCCCCTTTTTTCTGGCAACAAAACAGGTGTTAAGATGCTGCCAGAATAAAGAAGAAAAACCTATTATATTTTGGTACTGGATAAGGAGGTCCCATGATGTAGGTACTTGCCACGAGCTCTCATTACTCTGATAGTGCATTGTCTTTGGGCTGTATGCCTTTTGGCGTCCTCTGGTGTAACACCGTTTGAGACGAGGCTCAAAAGAAAGCGGTCTCTGGTGTGGACCAATCAGTTTCAAGGACAATGCATATATTATCAGAGTGTTTTTTGTTTGCATTCTGACCACAAGCATTGTGGTTGATGCAGACATGAATCCTTGTAAAAGTTTTCAGTTTGGTATTTTAAAATCTTAACACCTGTTTTGTTGCCAAAAAAAGGGTAAAAACCTATTATGATGTTTTGTCTCAACCACGAAGCTGGTCACCAACCCATTCACCCAACGACTCACCCAGGTCGCCTCACCCCTCTTTCATAATAGGTAAAAACCTATTATGATGTTTTGTCTCAACCACGAAGCTGGTCACCAACCCATTCACCCAACGACTCACCCAGGTCGCCTCACCCCTCTTTCTGCTTCTTCCCTTGCACCACTCTACTTCGGAATTCCCTCTCCCATCGTCTGTCGCCAAGCTCTTGCAACAACCTCGCTCTGATTTCAATGACAACTGCGATTATGCCATTTGCTCCTGGCCGCTTGGCGTTTTGGGTCGTCGGGCCGTGGCTTGGCAGCTGTGTGGAAGTGAGCTGGTGTGTATCTGCGTGTGCACCGCATCCCAGGAGCATGGAGGACTTCGTCACGTGGGTGGACTCGTCCAAGATCCGGCGCCATCTCATGGACTACAACGAAGAGGTACGGCCTCCCACACTTCTCCTGCACTACCGCCCCCACTACAGCCAACACTACCCCCACTGCAGCCTGAACTACGCCCCACACTCGCCAAAGCCATGGCCACAGCCCATGACCTCACGGCCTACGCTCACCAAAGATATGGCCTCACAGCCCACGCTCACCAGAGCCATGGCCTGCAGCAACAGCCATCCACATTCTCTCTCAAGATGCTCACCGCCTGCGCTGTGATGTTTTCAATGTGTAAAGTAGTAACTCGGCGGGAGACGACTTCACGGGTAGCACACTCTTTTATTTCACCAACTTATAGTTACACGGGTGACTAACACCCACTTAGTTACACGGGTGGCTAACACCAGCCTAACCCACACAGTTCTCCTGGCTACACCGACACGGGCTCTTACGCCCCGTAGCCTCTCGGAACACACCCGGCCAGGGTGTCCGTCTCGACTCTGGGTCCCACCGTCCCGACCCACACGGGCGTCGGACCACGGGTCCCACAGTCTCGGCTCCGAGCCTCACAGGGCCCCGGTCCTGACAAGGACGGCGGGACTAGGGGTCTCGGGCCACTACCTCCTCCACTCCGTCTTCGATCTTCAACTGGTTAACAACAACCCCGAGTGCTCTCGCGCGTCCCCCTTTAAGCACCTCCTGCGGACGTCGCTGAGAGCACCCATCCCATTTGACCAATCACTGGGCGCTGGCTACGATCCTCTTTTCGCACCTCGTGTCAGCGCGCCTCACCACCGGCGCGCGCGTCCAAACCACGCCCACATCGCGTGCCCAACCCCGCGCCCCGTGCCGCCCCGTGATCCATCACTGTCGGCGCACGTCAACACCACCACTACAAATGCGTACAGTCATAGATTTTAAAGAGTGGATGGTCGTGCCCATTGTTAAAGATCGACGTTAGTCAAAGGAAAATCGATGGTCACTCATACGTATTGACATTCAAACTCCCAGTCATGCACAGCGTGACCCCAGGGTGTTAGCTAAATAACTAAGCATGTAACACGTCTCCTTCACATATCTGTCCCTCCGTAACATACTATCAGCCACATGGCCTTCTGGGTGTGCAGAATTTCAGCAGCATTGGTTCAACGCAAGCAAACTGGGCCAGTTTTTGACATTGTCTCATCAGCAGTCGCGCTTACTTTAACCAATGCTGGTGAACTACCAGGTGTTTATAGGCGAGGATTCTCTGTTCAACATGGGTCTCATAGAACACGTAATAACATAATCACGAGTGTCGTAGTGGAGAATACAAGCGTGCCGCTCAATAGCTCTGGTGTGGTGGCTGTTGAGCGATTGGTGTCAGCCGCGTCATGGCCGTGCTATGCTTTTGTTTCGCCGCAGAGAGACGACTTTGACCTGGTCGGGTGAAGCGGGGGGCCGCCGTCACCACGCGATTCCTGGCCCTGCGAGCGATGTGGAGACATCTGAAGCTCGTGCCGGAGCTGCTGTCCACAAAATACAAGGGCACGAGGAGACGCTGGACAAGGTCTGCTCTGGCCCAGACTTTCGGCCGTTACAGATCTCTGTTACTGGACAGTGCTCGGCCACCCATTTTATTTGGCACTGCTTTGGCCACCTGGTTGGCCACCTTAACTCTTCCATTACAAAAGCAGGAGGCTGGCCAAGATACTGTCGTGGATTCGTTCATAATTACACCACCGTGTTCATAAAACCTGACATGGTAGACTGAATTAAATATTTTCTATAACTTTGTTTTGCGGTTTTAAATGGTTAATAAATGTGTGAAAACCGTCATGGATTTTTGTTGTGCAACAGATTCAGTATCACCAATCTGGTCTTCTTGGTATGGCTGGTGTTGATGAAGAGCAACAGCTATACTTTTACATTGAGGTGGTGGAGCCAAACAACTGCGTTTGAAGCAGCCGAGTGTAGCGCTGCGATGCCCCCTTCGTGTTAGTGAATTGCAGCCGTTAGATGTTCCATGGTTTAGTTCTCGGCGATCGCAGTCACCTTACACCGAGCCAAAACTTTTTAATTTTCCATTTGTGCTTCAAGTGTCTGCATCTGTTTTCATGGTTTTTGTTTGTGCATGTGGTTTTGGGGTTATGGCCTTATTCACTGGCAGAGCCAGTGGGGGGGGGGGGGGGGGGGATGGCACGTGCCCCCCCAATGATCCGATTGAAATCCCTAATTTCGATCAGATCATTGGGGTTTATTAGTAATAAATCGGGTTTTTGCGACCACCACTGCCAGTGTAGCATATTATTGTGCCAGGGACTCGATGAGATGATAGGACAATAGGGTGAGTCCATAATCGGCAATAAGTAACTCACAAAATTGTGCGCAGTTGCGTATACATTACACGACTTATCTGAAGGCATACCTTCAGCAAGAGCGATGTCGATCACACACGGTTCGAATTCCAAGTCTCGCAAGCATAAAAGTCTTAAACTATTAGGGCAAGTATCGCTAGTACCACGCCTGGCTGCCTTTGTCTTGCCAGTGGTGATTGTTACACATCACACCAGGGTACTCATTTATGGCTGACTTAACCTAGGGGATGCCCTACAACCGGTTCAGATAGTGGCTGGTGTTGGCCGTGAGTGGGCAGTGAACTCTGGTAACTATTTGGCATTTTGTTTACGTGACAAATCCCTTACTAATTACTCTTTGGTTCTTTTGGTAAAGTCATGTATAAAGATAAAATAATAAATTAAATAATAGCATACTACGACGTTTCGATTGCAACACAAGCAATCATCAGGTATAAAAGAAATGGCAACAAAAATCTAACCAGAAAACTATAGACAGTCATATAAGCAGACAGATATCACAAAGATACACAGAGAGAGAACACGTATCGGCACAAAGAGAGATCGTCTCTGTGACGGGGCCTTAAATAGAGAGAGGGGGGCGGGGGCGGAGAGAGGGAGGGGGCAAAGAAAAAATTAGCATGTCAATGAGTACGACGACGTGTGGTACGGTACGCAAGCTTGAAAATTACGAAGACGACGTGTGGTACAGTACGCAAGTTTGAAAATTAGGTGAACGGGAGAGACACACTAAAATTAAATAACCTAGCAAAATATCGAAATGTAATGTAATGCAACACAGAGTCGGTCAACACACAATTAACGCATAGCCTGGTTGATTACGTATTTCAAAGATTGCTAAGTTAGAATTTAAGTGTGAAAATTCCAAAGAGAGGACACAGGCAGAGAGAGAAAACAAAAAACCCAGAGAGAGAGAAAAAAGATAAGCTTAAAACTTCCCCGTAGAAGTGGTTCAATCTTAATTTGGAGCTTTCGTGACTGCAGGGATTACTCTTTACCGAAAAAAAACCTTTATTATGAATATTGGTCGTGAAAGCCGACGTGTTAAACTGAACTCGGGTCACTGGGTTCATAACATGGCTTGCTAACTGCCGCACGCACAACGTTGAAGAGAGACTCCTCTACGTGGTCACATGACTCAAACTCGTCCACCGATTGGTAGTTTTATTGCAATTATGCCCCAACTGCAAAAATTGAGAACTGGGCTCAAACGCGTAAAGAGAGACGGCACGGTGCCAACTTAGCAACGTAACCACGTATGTGTCGGTGGGGATGCCATGGACAGCGCAAAACACCATCGCATACCATAAATCGTGCTCAAATTGCATCATTGTACCCAGGCCTTAATAATAATGATGACATTTCTAACACGCCAGATTGTGTACAAGTCAAGAACTCAGAGGCGCGGAGCCAAGCTTAGGGCTGCCTGATGTTGCGGATATGCATAGGGATATAGAGTTCCACACTGAGGGGGCGACAGCAAAGAACCGACTTGAGGCTGGAACAATAGTGTCGTGTATAGTAGTTATGTATAGTGTCATGTATTGCAATATGAGGCTGTAACAAACAGTTTGAGACCTTTAGTGTCCGAAGCAGATTTTAAGTGATGCTGCGTAGGGTTCTACCATGAGCTTAAGAACATAGAAAATACAATTAGCTGTGTACTTTAACAAGTGTTTGATTTCAAAAAGTCTCTGTCCGAGCACATAAAATAACCATCTCACCACTACCGATGCAATCCCTTCCACATTGAGTCCAGGCAGACCACGAAAAAACAAGGGGGGGGGGTACATCCCTGGAATATTCCGTGTTGGGCAAAACCATCTTCAACAAATATATAATAGACCTTATGGTGAAAAATAGAGTAGCGTTCCTGGGTATGAAATCACCCGCCCCCTCCGTTGTTGAACTAATTCTACAAGATTTCCAACCTTGGTATTGTACTAAGGGATGGTGATTTGCTCTTTATTTCTGCAGTGCATACACTTTATTTTTCAATTTAACCTCGACACAAAACCCCCGGCTCGATTCCTTTTCACGCACAGCGAGCGGCACTTAACGCCCAATGCTCGCCACTGACACCGATACTTGAATGTTAACGATTCGCCATCTAGGCCTGCACCTGACAGTCCTCAACGACCGAGCGGCTGGATCATGCGACAATGTCAACATTTTAAACTAAACCATTTTTTTTATTTTACCAGGTAAAGCCCACTGAGCTGTGTAGCTCTTTTCAGAAGCAACCTGGCCACAAATGATAGCTCAACGAAGTGGCTTATCACGTGGAAATTTATAGCAGCAAAATACTCTTAAACGCACGTTTATAAACGTGGAGGGAAAAACTGGAGGACCTGGAGAAAAATCCATGTGACCACAGGGAAAACATGTCAACTCCGAATATACAGGCGTTGGTCGGGATCGCGATTGAACCCACGATCTGGAAACCAGGCGAGGCAGTTAACATCTCGCCACCGCGGCACCCTATTTGTGTTGTGCCATTGTGAATGTTGAGTGCGTTACATTATCACACAAACACATGACAAATACTGTAAATCGTTCTCAGTCGATTAATTCACACCGTAGCAGCATAAACCCCCCCCCCCCCGTGTTCCAGACATGTGCAAGGTTTTCCCGTATTTGTGTATGTTATATGTTTAATTTACAGCCGTAGGGCCTTGTCAAATGTTATATTGTGCTTGGGAGTCCAGCCACGTGGCTCGGCGCACAAGCGAGCGGGGGTTGAGAATTCAAATCCCGGTTGGGGATGATTCAGCCCATCGTAAAAACATGTACCACTTTGTAGGGAATTCAACAGGGGTTGTCCCGTGGAGAGACTCACCCCCCACCATAGTAACATGGAATTTCCACCACCGGCTCGGGGTCGTAAACGGGAGACGAGCACCGCCTATGCTCATTCGTGCCGGACATCGCCGTAGTTTGACGCGTGGGGTGGGGTCGGCCGTGACGTCGAGGGCAGCGTCATCTCACAGCACAGAGGCGGCGTGCGCCATCGTGGTGAGGGCGTCGCGCGCCGGAGACGGAGGCAGCGCCGCCAGCGCCGCCAGCGCCCGCTCTCCGTGCAGGTGGCAGAGCTGGGACGTGGCGAGCACAGACTGGCGCACATCCGGGGAGGAGGCCAGCTGCATGCAACACAACGCGAGTGTTGTGCACGCAGCATCGGAGCGTCACGTACAGCACACACGTACAGCACACACGTAGAGCATACACAAACGGCACACGCCAAATGCGTCATGCACGTGGCACAGTTGCTGGTCGCTTGACATTTTGGGCGTCTGCGCCTTGTGCTCATCAACTGTGTTTAAATATCAATGCGTGTGTGTAGCTATATATTGCACGTGAAGAGATTCCCACCTTTCCAAAGTCAATGCGTCCCGAGGCATCTGTGGCCTGGAAGAGAATGGCAGAAGTCCCATGAGTGGGCGACGGCGTGCATTCCCCACGCACGTTGCCACAAGCCCCCCATGATGAACGTTGCACATCTCAACATTGCCAGAGGCATCTTTAGCTGGGCAAGATCCGACCAAGGTAAACACCTCTCTCCCTCAAAAGTATACCGGGACAATATCAGATATGACAGACGCAGACGGATGACAGAGCAATCTAAAATCAAAACAATCCATAAAATGACAAGCGTGGCTTTACTGATTAGACACTGAATGTTGAAACCGGTCCAGAGTTTGCAAGTAATGAGCCAACGCTACTGAAATGACACACTTCCAGAAGGCCGTGAGGTTGACGGGATATACATATGTATGTTGAACTTCTTTTGCACCATACATAGCCAACCGTGCTAATTGGAGATGTGAGGGAAGGACAACAAACTTAACATAGAAAGCAGTTCTAAAAGTAAACCTACTTTGATACTTTTTGTGAAGGAACGGATGAGTGGGGGACGTGTATTGCCCGCTTGTTCACAATGTTACGAATATTCTACACCGCGAGACTAATCTTTTTTTTTGCATTTTACAGCAGAAACACCACTCGCTGTGCTGTGCGGCTAGCTCCTTATATGTTGCAATTAATATTTTGTTATCACTCGCACGTGTGCCGGCGTTCTACGCATGCTTGCATACCTTCTTGACGGCGCTCTGCCAGGCTCTTGTTCCCACTCGCTCTTGGTGCAGGATCGCCGGCGCGGAGTGAAAGCTGAAGTGCACCGCATCATTGTCCACCCCAATAAACGGCTGCATGTCCAGATTCAGCTGCGTAAACAAACGGACACAGATTCCCTGTGTAGCCTACACAGACTGTCGGGGAAAGTGCTGTTACCATGTAGCACCTATGAAGCCAACATGGCACCAGGCACTCATTTAACACTGGGTCGACCCAGGGGATGCCCATGAACAATTCAGATAATCGTCACTGGTGTTGGCGGTGAGTGGGAAATTAACTCGGGTCGCCGTGTTCATAGCGTAGCGCACTAACCGCTACACTACTGCTTCCAATGCACACGCATACAAAAAAGACAAATATCCGCCATATAACCTGAACAGACTGTTGGGGCAAGTGCTGTTGGCAAGTACGGGAAGGAGGTGGGTGGTAAGCACCACGCTCGACCACCTTTATCTCGCGAGTGGTGATGTTTACTAGGTACTTATTTGAGGCTGAGTTAACCTAGGGGAGGCCCAGGACCGGTTCAGATAATTGTCACTGGCGTTGGCCGTGAACGGAAATCTAACTCGGGTCACTTGGTTTGTAGTGCAACGCGCTAACTGCTGCAGTCCACATACACACGCACATCAGAATATTTATACTGGAGAAATCCGATGAGCTATACACACGCGCACAAACACATGTGCACACACATGTAAATTAGGGCTACTAAGCGGTAAAGTGGAAACCATTTCCAGCGGAATGCCGGTACCGATTGTCGCGCGCGATGTTCATGGCAAGAGACATCGTTCATTGCCTCCAGCAAACCCAGGGGGCAACGGTTCACCTTTGCTTTTCAAGCCGGTTACCGGAGACGGGAAAACCCGATGTTCCCAGCCACACGACTGCTAACTCACCGTGCGAGACAGTGACAAGGTGATCCATTTATAGATACTCTACCAACATAAAACTATATTTGATTTCACAGCCTTTACGTGCAGCCTCCTACCAATCTCAACACACGTGCTACATCTCTAACCCTCCCCTGTGTAAGCTACTGAGCCGTCACGTTCACAATATTTACTCGGCTGTTGAGAAAAGAGAGGGTTCGTAAAAAAAATCAGTGGGGTATCTATGAATATATCACCTTGTGTATTTCATTGACACACCCCCTGTGCGGTCATGCGTACTGTTAGGAGTTTAGTTCATCCCACAGAGTGCTTCAGAATCTCGTCTCACGCGATGAATGGCACTTGGTTACATGGTTTGTACGTGCATGCCGCGTGCTTGTTATGAGAGTATACGAAGGGTACGTGACCATTTCCGTATGTACAAGGTGTGCTGCGCGACCATAACGAGTGAACCCAAAAGCCAAGCGGTCTCCAAATCTGGATGCTCAAGCGAGAGTGGCCCATACTCATCCCTGGTGGTGGTGGTGGCGATGTGGGATCCATCTCTCCATAATCACGACCGCTGCTGACTTCCCACAAAATGATACAAACTCATTTTATCGCCCACAAGGGATGAAAGGTAGGCGGCCGTGTGAGGTGCGTGACACGTCTGCGCTGCTCGCACCTGGTGCGCCGCCGCCATGTCCCTGCCGTAGCTGAACGCGGACCGCTGCAGCTCAGCGCTCTGATTGGCCAGCACGAGCGTCGCTTGGCAGCTCTTGGCAAGCAAGGCACCGTGGGAGAGGAAGGTCCGGTCCAGATAATCACAGACACTGGCATTCTCTGGAACCTGAAACACACGTTTAACATTATTCTACGTGCGCTCTGGTTTCCTCCCACATGTAACACACATTCAATGTCTGATACCACCTTCATATATAGAGGACCGCAGAGCTTGGGGCGGGGGGTGGAATTTATCCATGGCCGATCGCCTGGCTGCCTTAATCCCCCTTTGGTTCCTCCTCGCGCCTCCCTCTCCGAGAGCGAATGAACTCTGCTGCGGTGGCAAGTTACAAATAATTATTATTACACTTTAAAAAGGAAAGCCTAACTCTCAGGAGGGTCCTTCCAAGTTTTCGCAGTTGGAGGTGATGCTGCTGTGTGTAATCCGAATTGAGCGATTTGCAGGTAATTTTTCAGCACTAGGATGGTACATTGCAACATCCCACAGTACCCAGATAAGCCCATGCACAACAGGGGGAGGGGGCATAGAAACTCCATGCAGAAAGGCGCATGAGGTGGGAATTGAACCCGGGCCCTTGTTGCTGTGAGGCGTGAGTGTGAGCACGGGGCCACACTGCCGCCCTGTGTGTCCCACTCACCCCTTCGCTTCCACTTCCTTCATAGAACAACCCCTGCACGAGGTCTCCAATCGCGCTGGACATTAACTCCACAACCTGCACACGTCACAGCATCGTCTTCACCATCCTAACTGCAGACCTTGTCTCGTCATGGCGCACATCTTTTAAAGCAACAAAATAAATAACCACGATAACATGCCTCTGCCACACAGCCTTCTGGGAGTGCATAATTTCAGCAGCATTAGTACAACGCCAGAAAAACTTGGGACCTGTTTTGAAATTCAGTGTCTCATCAACAACTTACACTTGATTCTAGATTTGAGCTTTCGTGACTGCAAGGATTCATACTATTAGGTTTTTTTCGGTAAAGTCACGTAGGTAGAAATAAAAATAAAATAATAAATGAAAATAAATTAAATCACGACGTTTCAGAGGCAACACAAGCTTTCTTCATCAGGTGTAAAAAGGCACAGCAAAATAACTGTAGATGTTAATAGACAACTAGGACCCTCCGCTAGATACGGGTCTTAGTTCGACGCAAAACTACACAAAACGAAACTTGAAAGCGATGCGACACCCGGAGCGACAGGGCGAGCGCCACGCGCTCACGTGCGTGTTGTTGAGGCGCGCCAGCCCCGTGGACGCGTTCGCAAGCAGGAGGTCACCGCTAAGCACCTGCCATCTTGTTCCCAAAATCCATGTCGTCGCGGCAGTCGTCGCTGAGTACCATGGCGGCGACATCCACGATGCCGCGGTGCACGGCAAACGCAGTGTGGATGAGCTCGGCAATCTCCGCCAAGCTGCGCTGGCTGTGCATGGAAAACATTAAGCGTTTAGAACAACGACGACGTGGAATGTGTTGAACTTCTTTCGCACTGTACATAAGTTCAACATAGATACATACACAGAGACCCATAGTTGTCCTTCCCCGTACCCACGATTATCACGGTTGGCTACGTACGGTGCAAAAGAAGTTCAACAGACACACGCATACGTACGGTGCACACATAGATATGTACGGTACGAAAAAAACTATGGGTCTCTATTTGAGTCTGTGTGTGCACGTATGTTGAACTTCTTTCGCACCGTACGTAACCAACTGCTAATCGGAGGTATGAGGGAAGGACAACAAACTAAATACAAAAAAGCAGTTCTAAAGAAATTAGTTTTCAATCTAGCTTCAAAAGTGCACAGCTCCAATAAGGTATTCCCTTCACCAGCAATGAGTCCAAAGCAAGCCTGACTGCTGAAGAGACAACGAATGTCGAAACCGGTTGAGAGTTTTGCTTGTGTTGAACCAATGCTCCTGAATTTGTGCGCTTCCCAAAGGCTGTGCAGCTGATGCGATGTGTAAAAAATATATTTTATTCATATGAAGTGACAGATATGGGAGGGTGGTGCACTATTTATTTATTTCAAGGAAGTTACACACAAATATTACAAGTCAAATCATACAACAAGGTGTTTTTGCATCGTGGCAGTCAATAATAAAATATAATTTGCATTTGATAAGCATGGGATGTTATGTACTGTGTATATGAACCACAGCAGCCTCTTCAATTAACGGTTCAATTAGTTGGCATGGTTATTCTTCTTTAGCGATCAAGTCACAGCTCATAACTCAATGGTTATGATGACCGAACCAGACAGGCAATTCTCCCTCGTGATGTCAAACAATCTTAAACGGTTCCTTGAAAGGATGTACACATTAGAGGCTGACCGAAACTAAATTTCTGGTTTCGGCCAAAACTGAAGCCGAAACTGAAAGTTTAACTTCACTTTCGGCCAAAACCAAAGCTGAAACCGAAAGTTTAACTTCACTTTAAAGCTTTTGTGACTGCAGGGATTCATAATTTTGGTTCTTTCAGTAAAGTCACGTAGAAGGGAAATAATAAAATAAAAAAAATTCAACATAATAAAATACAATTCTCACGACGTTTCGGCCACAACGCAAGCAGCCGTCCTCATGTGAAGAACAGGTCTGTCGGAAAGACAGCGTCTGAAACGTCGTGAGAATTGTATTTTATTATGTTTTATTTTTATTATTTTATTATTTCCCTCCCACGTGACTTTACCGAAAGAACCAAGAAGATTTAACTTCACTTTCGACCGAGACCGAAACAGAAAGGTATATAACCGAAGTTACCGAACACAAGTTTTATTAAATATGTCATGATGCAATGCTACTTTAATTTAAAATAAATCTAGAACTAATCATTCAGAGCCTGCAGTAAGAGTAGCTAAATATAAAATCTTTAGGTGTTACTAACCTAGATAATTATATCCAAACAAACGAATGTTGTAGTTAAGAAACAACAGTTTTTCCGCATTCTCGCCCAGCAGGTTGCTGCGCCTTGCTTGCACCAGAATCGACTTTAGTGAAGTAATCCCACACCGCGTGTTTCGATATTCTTGACGATGATTAACTGCTCCGTTTATTAACTTTAATTTTCTACTTCACTCAAGATTCGTAATGTCGTTATCACTAATTCGCTACAGAACTATAAACTAACTGAATATCAATATTGTCAGACTTCGAATCTCGGTATCAACACGCGTGTAGACTGAAGCGAACGCAATACACATAAGCCAAGGCGGGCAGGCGGCTGGGAACAGACAACAGAGGCACTTTGTTGTCGTCCCGCCAAAGAGACTCCACCCACGGATGGAAATGCAGGCTGCCGTCTGTTGAGCGGTTTAGCAGACCGTGGTTGCGGCTGTAACCTCGCTCCCAAGCTGCTGCTGCTGACGTGTGTGTTTTCAGCCTATCGCATAGGATTGCCTAGCGCCGACTGACCGGCCGATAGGCAGAGTGATAGACGTAGCACTAGCATTATATTCTAAAAATAGATCTTCGGTTAACGACCGAAAGTCAATATCAGTTTCGGCCGAAACCGAAACCAGACCGAAAGTTAAAAATTGACTTTCGGCCGAAACCGCAAGTATGTCGAAAGAGGCCATTTGCCAACTTTCAGGCGCCGAAACCGAAACCGAATTTCAATTACCAATTACTATTCTCACGGAAATTCTGCCGACCAACAAATACATTCATACCGCAACAAATACATTCAACACGCATTGTGCACACACGTAGAGATGTTGCCTATCCAGGCGTTACCTTGGGTAGATGCCGTCTACCATCACCTCGGGATCGGAGGAGATCTTGCCGTCGGGCTGCTTGCTGGGTTTGGGTCCGGCCGCTTTGGACATGAGAAGCACGACAAGGCCTCGCATCTGAACCATCTGGCTGCTGTCACAAACCAAGCCCCTGTGGGTGCACACCACAGCAGACACACCAGTCACACAGCACCCCACACCAACACAGCACCCCACATTCACAGCACATACTCACACCACCCCAGTCCCCACACCTCCGGTTAGCACATACGGTGTGAAAAAGGTTCCACATACTTAGCACGGCAGTCACAGCCCACAGCCACACATCACCCAACAGTCACACCCTACAGCACAGTTACACACCACGGCAGTCACAGCCCACAGCCACACATCACCCAACAGTCACACACCACGGCAGTCACAGCCCACAGTCACACCCTACAGCACAGTTACACACCACAGCCACACATCACCCAACAGTCACACCCTACAGCACAGTTACACACCACAGCCACACATCACCCAACAGTCACACCCTACAGCACAGTCACACACCACAGCCACACATCACCCAACAGTCACACCCTACAGCACAGTCACACACCACAGCCACACATCACCCAACAGTCACACCCTACAGCACAGTTACACACCACAGCCACACATCACCCAACAGTCACACCCTACAGCACAGTCACACACCACAGCCACACATCACCCAACAGTCACACCCTACAGCACAGTTACACACCACAGCCACACATCACCCAACAGTCTCACCCTACAGCACAGTTACACACCACAGCTACACATCACCCAACAGTCACACCCTACAGCACAGTCACAGCCCACAGCCACACATCACCCAACAGTCACACCCTACAGCACAGTCACACACCACAGCCACACATCACCCAACAGTCACACCCTACAGCACAGTTACACACCACAGCCACACATCACCCAACAGTCACACCCTACAGCACAGTTACACACCACAGCTACACATCACCCAACAGTCACACCCTACAGCACAGTTACACACCACAGCCACACATCACCCAACAGTCACACCCTACAGCACAGTTACACACCACAGCCACACATCACCCAACAGTCACACCCTACAGCACAGTCACACACCACAGCCACACATCACCCAACAGTCACACCCTACAGCACAGTTACACACCACAGCCACACATCACCCAACAGTCTCACCCTACAGCACAGTTACACACCACAGCTACACATCACCCAACAGTCACACCCTACAGCACAGTCACAGCCCACAGCCACACATCACCCAACAGTCACACCCTACAGCACAGTCACACACCACAGCCACACATCACCCAACAGTCACACCCTACAGCACAGTTACACACCACAGCCACACATCACCCAACAGTCACACCCTACAGCACAGTTACACACCACAGCTACACATCACCCAACAGTCACACCCTACAGCACAGTTACACACCACAGCCACACATCACCCAACAGTCACACCCTACAGCACAGTCACACACCACAGCCACACATCACCCAACAGTCACACCCTACAGCACAGTTACACACCACAGCCACACATCACCCAACAGTCACACCCTACAGCACAGTTACACACCACAGCTACACATCACCCAACAGTCACACCCTACAGCACAGTCACAGCCCACAGCCACACATCACCCAACAGTCACACCCTACAGCACAGTCACACACCACAGCCACACATCACCCAACAGTCACACCCTACAGCACAGTTACACACCACAGCCACACATCACCCAACAGTCACTCCCTACAGCACAGTTACACACCACAGCCACACATCACCCAACAGTCACACCCTACAGCACAGTCACACACCACAGCCACACATCACCCAACAGTCACACCCTACAGCACAGTTACACACCACAGCTACACATCACCCAACAGTCACACCCTACAGCACAGTTACACACCACAGCTACACATCACCCAACAGTCACACCCTACAGCACAGTCACAGCCCACAGCCACACATCACCCAACAGTCACACCCTACAGCACAGTCACACACCACAGCCACACATCACCCAACAGTCACACCCTACAGCACAGTTACACACCACAGCCACACATCACCCAACAGTCACTCCCTAGAGCACAGTTACACACCACAGCCACACATCACCCAACAGTCACACCCTACAGCACAGTCACACACCACAGCCACACATCACCCAACAGTCACACCCTACAGCACAGTCACACACCACAGCCACACATCACCCAACAGTCACACCCTACAGCACAGTTACACACCACAGCTACACATCACCCAACAGTCACACCCTACAGCACAGTTACACACCACAGCTACACATCACCCAACAGTCACACCCTACAGCACAGTCACACACCACAGCCACACATCACCCAACAGTCACACCCTACAGCACAGTTACACACCACAGCTACACATCACCCAACAGTCACACCCTACAGCACAGTTACAGCCCACAGCCACACATCACCCAACAGTCACACCCTACAGCACAGTCACACACCACAGCTACACATCACCCAACAGTCACACCCTACAGCACAGTCACACACCACAGCCACACATCACCCAACAGTCACACCCTACAGCACAGTTACACACCACAGCTACACATCACCCAACAGTCACACCCTACAGCACAGTTACACACCACAGCTACACATCACCCAACAGTCACACCCTACAGCACAGTCACACACCACAGCCACACATCACCCAACAGTCACACCCTACAGCACAGTTACACACCACAGCTACACATCACCCAACAGTCACACCCTACAGCACAGTTACAGCCCACAGCCACACATCACCCAACAGTCACACCCTACAGCACAGTTACACACCACAGCTACACATCACGCCAGTCACACACTACAGCAGTCACACACTACAGCAGTCACACACCACAGCACAACCACACTACAGCACAACCACACAGCAGTCACACACCACAGCAGTCACACACTACAGCAGTCACACACTACAGCACAACCACACTACAGCACAAACACACAGCAGTCACACACCACAGCACAACCACACAGCAGTCACACACCACAGCACAAACACACAGCAGTCATACTGTAAGACAATGAGACGCCGCACTCGCAGAAGCCATCTTCCCAAAACCAGAGGCTGTAAATCAGGGCCTCGAATGTGAGCACAGACACTTGAAACTTATGGCGGTACCCCAGGGTACCATAGTACCCCGGCTCTCGCACAATGTCTGTGATGCAGTCATGTTTAGTCTGTTGATGGTCGGCGATGCGGCAATCGACTCATCTCGACGAGCTGGACACGATGCACCACCGTGGTGCGTGCGAGCGTCCAGGGTTTCAGCGCAATCGTCCTCGCTCGTTTCGACATCGCGGAGTGGCACTGAGTTAAGTACACCCCTGGAAAAAGTGTCCCATTTAGTATTATTTGGTACCCCCCCCCCCCCCCGGGGTACCGCCATAAGGATCACTTGTTGCGCCCGGCTCCACGGCTCGGCTCAGTGTGCAGCGCCTCAGAGACAGGGGCCAGTGGTGGTGGTGGTGGTGGACACCCCACACATGGCGACGTGCCCTGAAGGCCGACGCGAGGGCTGGCTACCTCGGGGACACGGCGCATGGAGGAGGCCACAGCAAAACAAACATTTCTTCTTCCAGTGCCTTCCTGCATCGCTGAGAATATCCACGATGTGTCTGTGGACAGCTTTGACCGGCAGCCACCCAGCATCGCGACCCGAGCTGCTGCCGCCACCGTGACGATCACCCGTGACCCAGCAAAGGGTCAGGGACCCCAACAGCATCTGAGTGCAACGCCACCCAAACGTGTGTTGTTGTGTCCGTGTGTTGTGTCCGTGTGTTGCCTATGCTGCGCTATCCTCACGTGGCCATGTTGAGGAGAGGGTGTTGGTGTTAGGAGTGTTACTTTGTGTGATGTTGGGGAGCGGTGCAGTGGTTCGCGCACACGGCGTCACACAAAGTCAGACCCCCCTCATATGACGTCACAAAGCTCTACCCCCTCCCCCAAATCATATTTCCATTTTGAAAATAAAACATGCTTCAAATCGTTTTAAACTATTGTCATAGTAGTGCGTATTTAATGTGGCGCTGCACTCTGATGTTGTAGGAGAAATGTTTTATGAAAAAGGTATATTTAACTATTCATTTAAAGTTGCGCATAAAGTTGCGCATTTTGATGTGACGTCGCATTTCTCAACCCCCCCCCCCCCTCGTCACACATCTTCACAAATGTCTGACACCCCCCCCCCCCTAGGTGCGTGACGTCATTTATGGACGGCCCCCAACCCGGCGACACGAGTTCGATTCCTGCTCCCGATCAATACCAGTGACCATTGTCTAAATGGGTCCTGGACCTCCGCTAGGTCGACTCGGCCTCAAGTAAGTCCCTTGTACGGTGTGTAAACACCACCCACCCCCTCGTGTGCCGCGTCGGCCTTCACAGGTGCTACTCGCAGGAGGTCGTTGTGTGTTGGTGCGGTACCGACGTGGCCGTGCTGAGCAGCGGGTGCCCCGCGCGCCGCAGCCTCCCCGCCCTCCCGGCCGCGTGGCTGGCGCCGTCCCCCAGCAGCGCGCGGAGCCCGAGCACCGACCCCGGGTAGCCGACCTCGCGCCGGGCCGCGTGCACCGCGCTCTGCCACGCGCCGGGGGGCCCCGCGGCGGGGGGCCCCGCGACGAACCCCCCCCCCGGGGGGGCTCCTCCCCCCGAGTGCGCTCGCGCCCCCAGGGCCCGCAGCGCGACGACCCCGAACCGCGGCCTCGCGAGCAGCGCCAGCGGCGGCGGCAGCGGCATGGTCCGAGTGAAGGGGGCTTCCGCGACGGCGCCCGCAGCCAATCAGAGCGCGGCGCGAGGCGGGGCTTCGCCGCTGTGGTGGGCAGGGGTCGTGGGTATGGCGGGCGGGGCTGGTGGGCGTGATGGGCGGGGCTATTCCAAAAGGGCGTCACGAAATAATTGGCAGCAACGGGGGTCAAAATTCAGAGGTCAGCAGCGCCGCGTGCGCTGTGTCAGGCTGTAGAATCCGGGATAGATTTATTTATACACTAGCGGAAGTACCCGGCTTTGCCCGGGTGAAAAATATATTTCTTAAAAACCTTACATATATATACACAGATACTAAGGTATTGTCAAAGCCCGGTGAGCTGTTTGTACATTTCTCCACCAACAAATATATAAGAGGCTTTCACAAGTCCAAAAAGTTGTAGAAAGTGTGGGGTAAATAGTTGATGTCAAAAGGTTTCCGAAAAATGCGGTCTCCCCCCCCCCCCTCAAAAATATCTTTACCCCTCGTAGGTATATATACTAACAACACCTTACATAAAACAGAGGAAGTGGTATCTATTGACTCTGTAGTAGTATCTACTGACTGTACCGTAGTATCTACTGAGCCAGTAGTAGCTACTGACTGTGTAGTAGTATTTAGTGACTGTAATAACTACTGACCATAGTAGTATTTACTGGGCCTACAGTAGAATCTACCGACTATATACTCGTAACGACTAACTGTATAGTATCTGCTGACTCTATAGTTGTATCCACTGACTATAGTAGTAACTACAAAATCTATAGCAGTATCTACTCACTCTATAATAGTATCTACTGACTCTAGTAGCTACTCACCGTGGTAGTATGTACTGACTGTATAGTAGTATATACTGACTGTAGCAGTATTGACTGACTGTAGCGGTATATACTGACTGTTTTAGTATTTACTATAGCGGTATCTACCAACTCGATAGCAGTATCTACTATCGCTACAGCAGTGTATACCGACTGAGGTCGTACCTGCTATCACTACAGCAGTGCATACTGCTGTGTTGGTACCTGTTATGATGACAGCAGTGCATATTGTGGTGGAACCTATGATTATAGCAGTGCATACTGCTGTGGTGGTATCTGCTATGATAAGAGGAGTACATATTGTGGTGGTGGTACCTGGTATGATAACAGCAGTGCATATTGACTGTACTCATCATTCACCCTCACCATTCACCACTCACAACTCACAACTCACCCTTACCACTCATCCTCACCACTCACCACTCCCACGCACTATTCACCATTCACCCTCACAACTCACCACTCACCAACCTCCCTCACCAATCTCCCTCACCACTCACCCTCACCACTCACCCTCACCACTCACCCTCACCACTCACCAGAGGTGTGGACTCGAGTCATGTGACTTGGACTCGAGTCAGACTCGAGTCATGAATTTGATGACTTCAGACTCGACTTGGACTTGCATAACAATGACTTTGTCCCACCTCTGAGGTGTGGACTCGAGTCATGTGACTTGGACTCGAGTCAGACTCGGGTCATGAATTTGATGACTTCAGACTCGACTTGGACTTGCATAACAATGACTTTGTCCCACCTCTGCCACTCACCAATCACCACTCACCCTCACCACTCACTCTCACCACTAACCCTCACCACTAACCCTCACCACTCTCACTCACCACTCTCCCTCACCACTCACCACTCACTCTCACCATTCACCCTCACCATTCAGCCTCACCACTCACCCTCACCACTCACCGTCACAACCACCATTCACCCTCACCACTCAACTTCACCCTCACTACTCACCATTCATCCTCACCAATCACCACTGACCAATCACCACTCACCACTCTCCACTAACCCTCACCACTCAACCTCACCACTCACCCTCAAAACTAACCACTCTCTCACCACTCACCCTGCCCACTCAGCACTCACCCTCACCACTCACCCTCACCACTCACCCTCACCACTCACCCCTCACCGCTCACCACTCACCCATCACCACTCACAACCGCCACTCACCCTCACCACTCATCCTCACCACTCACCCTCACAACAACCACTCACCCTCACCACTCACCCTGACCACTCACCAATCATCCTCACCAATCACACCCTCACCAATCACCACTCACCCGCACTGCTCACCCTCACCACTCACGCTCACCCTCACCACTCACCCCTCACTAATCACCACTCATAACCGCCACTCACCCTCACCACTCACCACTCACCCTCAACACTCACCCTCACCACTCACCGTCACCACTCACCCTCACCACTCACCACTCACCCTCAACACTCACCCTCACCACTCACCGTCACCACTCACCCTCACTACTCACCACTCATCCTCACCAATCACACTCTCAACAATCACCACTCACCCTCACAACTCACCCTCACCACTCACTCTCACCACTCACCCTCACAACAACCACTCACCCTCACCGCTCAGCACTCACCCTCACTACTCACCCTCACCACTCACCACTAATCCTCACCAATCACACCCTCACCAATCACCACTCACCCTCACCACTTGCCACTCACCCTCACCACTCACCACTCACCCTCACCATTCACCCTCACCACTCTCCCTCACCACTCTCCCTCACCACTCACCAGTCACGCTCACCACTCACCCTCACTACTCACCACTCACCCTCAACACTCACCCTCACCTCTCACCCCCTCACCACTCACCCTCACCACTCACCCTGACCACTCACCACTCATCCTCACCAATCACACCCTCAACAATCACCACTCACCCTCACCACTCACGCTCAACACTCACCCTCACCACTCATGCTCACCACTAACCCTCACCACTCACCCTCACCACTCACTAATCACCTCTCACAACCGTCACTCACCCTCACCACTCACTCTTACCACTCACCCTCATCACTCACCCTCACCACTCACCCTCACAACAACCACTCACCCTCACTACTCATCCTCACCAATCGCACCCTCACCAATCACCACTCACCCTCACTGCTCACCCTCACCGCTCACCACTCAACGTCACCCTCACCACTCACGCTCACCCTCACCACTCACCTCTCACTAATCACCGCTCACAACTGCCACTCACCCTCCCCACTCACCCTCACCACTCACCCTCACCAATCACCACTCACCCTCACCACTCATCCTCACCATTCACCCTCACCACTCACCCTCACCATTCACCCTCACCACTTTCCCTCACCACTCTCCCTCACTACTCACCCTCACCACTCACCAGTCACACTCACCCTCACTACTCACCACTCACCCTCAACACTCACCCTCACCGCTCACCACTCACCCTCAACACTCACCCTCACCGCTCACCCTGACCACTCACCACTCATCCTCACCAATCACATCCTCACCAATCACCACTCACCCTCACTGCTCACCCTCACCGCTCACCCTCACCACTCACCCTCACCACTCACGCTCACCCTCACCACTCACCCCTCACTAATCACCACTCACAACCGCCACTCACCCTCACCACTAACCCTCACCACTCACCCTCACCACTCACTAATCACCTCTCACAACCGTCACTCACCCTCACCACTCACTCTTACCACTCACCCTCACCACGCACCCTCACAACAACCACTCACCCTCACTACTCACCACTCATCCTCACCAATCACACCCTCACCAATCACCACTCACCCTCACTGCTCACCACTCAACCTCACCACTCACGCTCACCCTCACCACTCACCCCTCACTAATCACCACTAACAACCGCCACTCACCCTCCCCACTCACCCTCACCACTCACCCTCACCAATCACCACTCACCCTCACCACTCACTACTCACCCTCACCACTCTCCCTCACCACTCTCCCTCACCACTCTCCCTCACCACTCTCCCTCACCAGTCACGCTCACCACTCACCACTCACGCTCACCACTCACCCTCACTACTCACCCTAACCACTCACCACTCACCCTCAACACTCACCCTCACCGCTCACCACTCACCCTGACCACTCACCACTCATCCTCACCAATCACACCCTCACCAATCACCACTCACCCTCACTGCTCACCCTCACTGCTCACCCTCACCACTCACCCTAACCACTCACGCTCACCCTCACCACTCACCCCTCACTAATCACCACTCACAACCGCCACTCACCCTCACCACTCATCACTCACCCTCACCACTCACCCTCACCATTCACCCTCACCACTTTCCCTCACCACTCTCCCTCACTACTCACCCTCACCACTCACCAGTCACACTCACCCTCACTACTCACCACTCACCCTCAACACTCACCCTCACCGCTCACCACTCACCCTCAACACTCACCCTCACCGCTCACCCTGACCACTCACCACTCATCCTCACCAATCACATCCTCACCAATCACCACTCACCCTCACTGCTCACCCTCACCGCTCACCCTCACCACTCACCCTCACCACTCACGCTCACCCTCACCACTCACCCCTCACTAATCACCACTCACAACCGCCACTCACCCTCACCACTAACCCTCACCACTCACCCTCACCACTCACTAATCACCTCTCACAACCGTCACTCACCCTCACCACTCACTCTTACCACTCACCCTCACCACGCACCCTCACAACAACCACTCACCCTCACAACAACCACTCACCCTCACTACTCACCACTCATCCTCACCAATCACACCCTCACCAATCACCACTCACCCTCACTGCTCACCACTCAACCTCACCACTCACGCTCACCCTCACCACTCACCCCTCACTAATCACCACTAACAACCGCCACTCACCCTCCCCACTCACCCTCACCACTCACCCTCACCAATCACCACTCACCCTCACCACTCACTACTCACCCTCACCACTCTCCCTCACCACTCTCCCTCACCACTCTCCCTCACCACTCTCCCTCACCAGTCACGCTCACCACTCACCACTCACGCTCACCACTCACCCTCACTACTCACCCTAACCACTCACCACTCACCCTCAACACTCACCCTCACCGCTCACCACTC